ATACCTCCTTTTTTTGTATTTTATTGGTGCTCATAAGGAAGTCAGTACTGGAGCAGGGAATCAAACCAAATTGCTAACCCTAGAACCACTGAATTGCCTTTCCTTGAGAAGACAAGTCTTGATGATTGAACTCATTCCCAACTATTACATAGGAAAAAAAAAAATAGATTTTAGACTGCTGTTTGCTGAGAGCAGCTGGAAAGAGAAAGTACCAAAAATAATCAGGAGTTAGTCCACCCACCCAACTGAAGCAGCTTTTGCCGGATGCTTTTTGATCATCTCCAAGCAATGGACAAAGCATTTCGATTTTGATATTAAATCAATGGTGTTATTATTTCTCCATAATTAGAAGGTTCCTACAGTGAGGAAATAATGACAACAGGAGGTGGATTGGAATATGCATTCAGTAGAAGGCCAGCTGTGCTTACTGGCAGGCAGATTCTTTGTTCTGAATATGTGACTCAAAAGTAAATGTTCTCTTTTGTCATACACTAATTAATGCCAATGATAGTCATCCGACCCCGCTTTCTCTCTCTCAGCCTCTCCTCCTGTTTGTCTGACTGGAAAATACTTTGTGTAGTACTAGTTAACTCCTTAGTCCAGTGATGCGTTTGTCTGATTTCTGTGCAAGGGAAATCCTTAAAACAGGGAAACCGAAACAGTCCAATGCCATGCATTTCTTAGAAGAGCCCTGCCAAAAGACAGCAGCCCTTCCTTCCTGTTGGGTACAGAGGTTTGGGGTTTTTCAGACATTTAAGATATTTAAATATTTCACTTATCTACAGTTGCAGAAAAGTGGAACTTTGTAAGTTCTGAAACGGAATAATACAGCACCCAATAGGAAGCCTGAAAAGAAGCGTATGTTCAGCTTGCTAGCACGGTGATAGCAGTAATATTTTCCTCTTTTATAATACCTTTATTATATTCATGCCTTCAGGAGCTCCACGCTTTTTAGCAGAATTAATTTATAAAGGCTCACAATACCCGTATTCGTGTGTGGGACAGAAGTATTTTCATCACCTGCACACACATGACAAAAGCGAGGCACAACATCATTTCCAAGGCACCAACAGAGCCAAGAACGGATTCCTAATAGCCTGCCTTTAGTTACTAATTCCTGCTTTCTTTTTGATGCCATTTTTCAGCTTCTTAACTCTTCACATTTCAGATGCTGGAAAATAGTTCAGGGCCTACCTAACAATTTTTTTCCTTCAGAATTGGTCCAGTGTATAATTTGCAAGTGCCACTAGCATGACTGCACATGGAAAATAACAGTCTGGGCACTGGCAAATGCAATTCCTTTCCCAAAAAGTTTCCTAGACATTTCCACTTGTGGAGGAATAGATGATGTGGCACTTCATCTAAGTCAGTTCTGACTCACTAGTGTTCCCTTTCTGATCAGGGCAGCTATATGGATTGGGCTGTATAATTTGAGTATCCATCTGGGCAATTGTCAGTAAGAAAAGCTGAGTGTCTGCACACTGCCATAGTTGCACAGCAGCAGGCTAGTACTCTGTGCAGGATCCGTCCACTGTGGTAGATATGCACAGCAGACCAGTTGCCTCACATGATAAACACAATACCTACAGTGGGTTAATTTAATGGTAATGCAGTACTTAAGGAACTGGCACAACTAATACAGCAGCTCTCCAAACTGATCAATCATACTAATTAACTTCAAGAGGCCACAGATGGTAAATTCACGCACTGAAATAGTTCCATATACACCCCCACCCCAAGAGCCTCATTTCCTGTTGCTCATGAAAAATGATAGAAAATAAACCATCTCCCCTAAGATTCCCCTGCCTTTGAAGGATTCCCAGCACATGAAAGTGAAATCAGTTCCCCTAATAAGAGTGGAAGTTCCTTTCCCTTGCCAAGCATTCTCCATCACAGTGCAAACAACATTGGTACACCTTACAACTTACGATTTTTATTTACAGGAGAACAGCACAAACAAAAACTGAAGTGGCAGCCAGTGTTTGGGCAGAGATGTAGAGATGAGGGAAGTCCTTGGATTATGCAAAAAACACCTGATAACAAATGTGTGAACTGCACAGGGCAAAAAAAAAAAAAAAAAAAAAAAAAATGACTGCTTTTACTTGAGAGGAGATGTATTTAAAATTACCCTTACAAGAAAAAACACAATAAGCCAAGGTAATGGCCTATGCCACTGCAACAGCACTATGGTCAATCCAGTGCCCTCTCCATGTGGGAAAATGACAGTCTGAGCACTGACAAAAGCAATTCCTTTGCCAAGTCCTGCAGATATTTCCGCTTGGGCAGCAATAGATGGTATGGCATTTCCTCTCATTTTACTCTGAATAGCTAGTGTTCCCTTTTCAGTCAGGGTGGGTCTATCCACTGGGCTGTATAGTGAAACTGTCTGAGCAATTGGCTATAGACAATGGAAATTCCACATTTCCCAGGATCAAGCTCTTATAGAATCATCAAGAAGTGGGGCTGGAAGGGACCTCAGGAGGTCATCTCATCCAACCAGTCTGCTCAGGGCAGGACCATCCCAATCTGGGGTCTAATGCGTTTTTAAGAACTTTAGGAACAACCCTCACACATAGCAACCAGGCACAATACCCAGAACCATCAAAAACATGTGTAGCCCAGGTAACTCGGGTATATACTCCCCTTCTCCAGTTGAAGGGGATTGTTAGCTGGCAGGTGGGCTATGGGGGGAACTGCAGACCACTCCGTTTCCCTCCATCCCCATAGAACCAGGCCAGGACAGTCAGGGGACTTAACTATATACATGTTTATTTACATTAACTTATCACAAGGAAAAGAAACATGGATATAAACATGTATACAATATATATTTATAGGATATCTAAACAAATAACATAAACAATACCCTCTGGGTAAATGCTATAAAACTTTACACCAGTGCTCCAGATACCGGTAAGCATCTGATCTGAAACAGATAAACCCCAAAATAAACATAGATAGCCAACAGATAAACGATAGATAAGTATGGGTAAACAATAAATAAGCCACAAATAAACAACAGGTGAAATAACAGCAACAGGGGGTCCCAGCAGAGCCCTAGGACTCTGCTCATCTATTAATTTACAAACATGAGAGTTCACAAAATATAAGGCATGACATCACACCACTTATGGTGCAAGAACCCCAAAGATAAACTTAATCCCCAGGGGAAACCCCAATGCCCCGGGGCTTTTCCCAAGCCCTACAAGAAAGCTGGTAACTTTAGGGGGGCCCTCCCAGTGGGACCTCCATTTTCAGGAGCCCTTAACTAACCAGGAGGGACTCCCCTCCTCCGTGGGAATCCTCTTTTCCCTGCAACTCACAGCTCCCAGGCCTGGAGGGTGGCCCCCGTCCTTTGTGCCAAGCTGCTCTCTTGCCTGCTTCGGGGGGCTTGCTGTCCCCTGGAACGGGGCTCCGCTATGCAGGGCTTCAGGGGCCTCTGGCTCAGCCCTGTCTGCTAGTTCAGTAGCCCAAGCACCATCTGGCTCCCTAGACTCAACCTTTTGCTATGGGTCGGAGACCTAGGCTTCCTTGTGCAGCACCAGGCTCGGTCTGCTCCTGGACCCTCCATGCAGCGCCTCCTGCACTGAGCTCCCAGCCTCATTCTGGGGGTTGAGGACCTGAGCTGCCCAAGTACTCCAAAGATCCTGCACCGGCCTCTGCACTGTGTCTCTGGCTGCATACCAGGGGTTGCAGACCCGAGCCACCTCATGCAGCTTCTAGGGTCTGGACGCTGCATGCTGTGCTGCACACCGAGAGCCTAGCTGCTGGAGCTGTTCAGCATTCCCCGCTGATGGAAGTCTTCAGGGGCATTTCTGGGCTACTGCTTTTCCCCACTGAGCAGCTCTCCTCAGCTCTTCTAACCCACTCTTCTCTGTCCTGGATGTGTTCCCTCATGCTGGGCATGCAGCTCCTTTTATATGCTCCAGGGCTCCGCCCCTGAAGTCTTCCAGACCTGAGTGTTGCAGTCTTCAATCAGGTCCAGGCAGGAGGGGGGGAAGGAGAGCTTCTCTTCCCCTCCCCTCAGGAAAGGGGCATGACTCAACTCCTCTTGCTGCCTCCTGATTGGTGGATGGGCTCCACCAATCAAAACAGCAAGATTTCAAACCTTGGACTCAACCCAAACTTGGAAAGGCAAGCCTGCTACACATGCTTTAAGTTAACACATGTAAAGCAGGGGGACAAGGGCGTTGTCAATGTCTTACCGCTGCTAGGACAGGAAGTATTTTGTTAAAGTACTGATATTAGCTCTCTATGCATCTGTGCTATGCATCTAATAGAGAGAAGATGCTTGGATCTTTAGGAATGGGAGTAGATTGGCAATTAGATCAGAAAACTAGGAGTCAAGATTTCTGAAGTTCAGTCTGTTTCTTGTTCTGCCCTTAACTCGCAGTGAAACCATGGTCAAGAATCTTAACCCCTCCCAGTGCCTGGATATTCATCTGTAAACTGGCCACATTATGAAAACGAACACGTTTTAATGATTTTGTCCTGATGTTCCCCTTTCTCCAAAGAGCATTACATTGCTTAAATGAAGTTAACAGCTATAAGGAACTTTGAAACTCATGGATACAGGGCAAAGATAAATGCAAAATACTGTACTGAGGTTCAGCTCAGGGACTTCTGCGCTCACACTAGACTAGCCTAGATTCAGAGGACGCGGTGGGTTAGCAGGGGAAACAGAGGCAGAAGATAGTGTGTGTGTAGAAAAGCCAATGAAAAGCAATGAAGACACTTTCACTCCTGTTTTGTTTGGTTTAAAGTTCACTTTTAGGCCCTGAGTGTGGTGACCTCTGGGTGCCAAACTCATTTCAGCAATTGCTCGTGCAATTTGTTTTTTTTTCAGTTGTAGATCTACACGAATTGGCAACAGCAAAGCTTTGAGTCCAATTTAAGATGACCACGTCTCTATAAAAAGGGGTGGCCCCAGCCCTGCAAACATGTGTGTGTGTATCTTTACTTACGTGAGCAATACCGTGGACTTCAGTGGGATTACTCACCGGGGTAAAGCTGCTGCTGCACAGGACTGCTTTCAGGATGGAGGCTCCAGGAATCTACCCTGAACAAACCCTGCCTGGAATCCCATGACATGACAAACAAACAAAAACTGGTGATCATTTTCCTGTAACTCCAGGCTTGACATGACCCGCCAGGCTGCAGGGAGAACTACAGCGTCCACAATGCAAAGCAGCAGCAGGGACCATCATGTGATTGACACTCCCCCTCTTATGCTGGTTAGTTTCTGTGGTCACGTGCTGGGGTGAAGATGGCTGCAGTGACAGAAGAGCAGTTTACAGCTCTGCAGATCTTACTGAAGGTAAATGCCGAGTCTCACAGGCTGCCTTCCTTTGCATGATACCACTTCCTTTTTTAAAATCTGCATATGGCAAAACAGCTGCTGAAATGTGTCCAAGAGGAGCCTGCAGGGAGCCAACGCCTGCATGGGTTCTGCAAAGTATATAGGAAACCTCTTCATTCCCCTTCCCTTTCCTGAAATCACTTTGAGAGCTGCGGCTCTTGGAGGAGAGCTGAATGCAGGTACTTCCCTTAGCTTGGGGAAACAAGGCAGATGAGATGTTTAAAGTGGAGAGGGTTTAGAAAGGTGCCACCTGCTCAGCACAAGTGCTCTGCAGCCATATTCATATCATGGAGCTCTATCGATCTCATAACTTCCTAGCAAGCATTCGCAAACTTTGTGAACAGAGGGCCTTGCCCTCCGTCTTTTTTCCAAGTGGCTTCATGCTCAGCAAAACAAGACTTATTTTCCTGCTTTGTGAGTCTTAACAGCAAAGGGCCAAGGTTTGAAAGGCAGTATGCAGGGGGATTAGGACCATGCAGCACGTTCTGACTTCTAAACCCCCTGCTGGTACTGACTCTATGCAGCCTCACGCAAATCACTTCATTTCTCTGCCTTCAAAGTTGGCCTGCTACCAAGCCACAGGATAGGCAAACCACAGATTTAGCAGTTCAGTGCTTTGAAGCACTACCTAAGTACTCTACTGTTTTTATAAGCAATGATTTCTTAACGCCCTCTTTTCTCCCCTTGTTATTTTCCAGGCTTCCTCAAAGGATGTAGTTAGACAACTGTGCCAGGAGAGCTTTTCTAGTTCAACAAGTGGCTCAAACAGGTTAATTGACAGCACCTGTTCCAGTCTGTCTGTAACACCGGAAGAAGCAGCTCAAGTAAGAATGCTGTCTTATTGATGAAGGCCTGATATAACAAACAGGTGCTTCTCCCTTCATCTCTCTTCAAACACTGAGGAGAAGCAAATTGCTTCACCTCACCGACTAATGAGTTTGTCCAGAGGCCTCGATGCTGTAGTCCAGCTTGTCTAGAACTTGTATGTGTACTGGTCTTTGAGGCCAAAGAAATCAGTGCAGCATGCAGTTATTGGTACACAAAATGGGAATTACTGCTCTCCGAATACAATCAAAGTAGATGTACGTTCAGTATACACCAGAGTAACATTCACCTGCCTTGCCACAGGGGTGGTGAGAACATAAGCAAAGTGCTTTGAAGATGTAAGGTGTTTAAGTATAATGAAGCAATTGCTATGTTTAAGAATAAAGGTTTAAACACTTTGAAATACAACTCAGAATTATTTCCTGTGATAAGCTAAGAAAGCACCTGGTGCAATCAGGTGTTTTTGCACCCCAGGCTTCATAGCAAAGGCTTTAATAAATTGTGCGTACACCATTGCCCTTAAAACATACTCTTCAAATTAAACTGCAGCCCAGGGCTGAGCTCCAATCCTACATTAGAATCGCCTAGAACAGCTCTATGCCCTACAGGACCTCACTGGACCATAACTCATGGATTTATATTTTTCAAGCTTGGGTTAAAATTTTCCCCAGTGCTGAAGTAACTTAAGACCTTCAATCCCACTGATTTTTTTTTTTTCTTCAATATGTCAAATATTGAATAATTATTACACAGTGCACATAGGAATATTTTGTAGGTTGCAAAACTTCCATAGAAGAATGGGCCGAGGTACCTCATGGGTGTATTATATTTCAGAGATTTCATAGACATTAGAACTGGAAGGGACCTCGAAAGATCTTTGAGGTCAGCCCCCTGCCCCAAGGGCAGGAAGAAAAAATATATTTATACTTTTTATAATTTCCTGTGCTAGTCCAGGCTTAAATTTATCTTTTTCTGTTTAAAAAAAAAAACCAACAAAAAAGACCCATTTGAACCTGACTTTAAAACAACTTAGATTGAAACGTACTGTCTCAATCAGCAGATGCTCAGCAGCTCTGAAAATCAGGGCCTTAGTGTTTTAAAAGGTTTTTAGGTTGTATAATTATAATACCTAGTAAAAAGAACTGGTTGTTGGATGATATAGCCCAGAATCTTTAATAGGAAGCTGGAAATTTGGTAGGTACAAATTGAAGCACAGTGGATATGTAAGCAGCATATATCAAGGTGTTTGTCCTTTTTTACATAAAAAGAAGTACTCTGACTGCCATCCTGTAGCTGGATCCACAGGGCTTGTCTGTGCCGATCTGAGTGCATAAGGATGTACATTATCCTGTCCCCCATCTGGTTACCCAAGTTAAGTCAAGTCACTTCCTGTACAACATGTGGTGCCCTTCCTCACTGCAGCTTCCTTACTATTATTGGTTCCTGTCTCCTTTCCTGCAGCTAATCTGCTCTTTGCACAGCCTCACCAGGCACGTTGTATATCGAGGCCTGACGTCACCAGAAGAAATTCTCCCTCTTTTCCCAGGGAATTTCCACCAGAATTTAAAAAACCTCTTAACCAAGATAATCTTGGAAAACATGTAAGTGTCAACACCTGCTTTTCAATTGATTTTACTTGAGAACATAGAGCTGGAGTTTATCTACCCATTCCAATACATATGCGGCTGGAAAGTAGCAGCAGATATTAAGTTAGCAAAGGGAGACTTTGCCACAGTTTCTGAGCACCTCATCATAGGCAGGTGTAATGTGGTACTTTCTGCAGACTTTGCCCTACAGTGGAAACTGAGCTTTTGCCTGAGAGTTCAGGAGAAGATGTCTTAAAGATCCTCCAACCATTGTACGTAACTAGATCCCCTGACCATGTTCTTTGAATCCCTTGCAATCACTAATGTTTTTATTTTCTCCATCTTACAGATGGGTACCAGATGCAGCAGGCAAGATTCATAGATAGATTCATAGACTAGCATTGAATTGTCTAGCCGTTAGGTTCCTGCATGCCTTATGAAATTCACAGCCCTGAGTTAGGCACCTCCACTCCCTGACAATGCATGGAGAGAATCATGCAGATAAGAACGGGTTCATGAAAGCCAGTAGGCTGAGTGGGAAATCACTTTGGGTGTTAGCATGAACTAACTAGACAGTACGTGAGCACAAGAATGACTAGTGGCCTAACTAATGATCTGCAAAGCCATACTCACTCTTTCACTCCCTGGTCCAGCAAATATTTTACTGTTCTGTATAGAGGAGCAGCTTCAACAGAAGGAGTTGAAAGCACCCTGCAGAATCCCCTGCTTGTGAGAGCCTCCTGGAAAGTGGGAGATATGGCCTCCTTTCTCCTCGGGCAGGAGAGATTTGAACCTTGCTTCTCCATTCTGCATGGGGGATCTGACTACTGAGTTTTGAGGGGATGCCTCTTCTTGTTAGAGTTATTTTGGTTTGTGTGGTTCATATGTGCGTTCTGAGAAACTAGGAAGCAGGCATAAGTGGAGGAAAGGCTAGTTTGTAGATGGTAGCATAAGCTGTGTGCCAAGCTGCTCAGGACTGTTTAGACTTGAGTGCTGTTGGACACAATACAGGTAAAACTTTAAGCGCTATTGGTAAAAACTTTACCCATGGACTTTATAGACATCTCCAGAATTAGGCATTACGTTTTCAGGATCTACACTGAGGCCTTGGGCACCTCTTTTCTCGGCTAGATTCATAAAGGAACTAAGCAATAGATCTGCAAAAGGATTAGAGTGCTGTAGCATACAGCATTGCAGCATCTAAACTGCAAGTATGTTGTCACCCAGTGAACTCTGCTGTCACGAGGGAAGTGCCCAGGAAAGGAAGGCACCTGAAGAAAGGATCTGCGAAAGACAGCCACACAGCAGAACTTGCCTACGGAGAGGGTAAAACTGAAACGCTGCCCCTTTTGGGGATTTTGGTGCCTCCAGCTAGTTTGCAGGGAGGAGCTGTCCACTGAAGAGGCTTCACAACCCAGTGGAGTTGGGGTACATTTAGGTACCTTTCTCACAGGTTAGAGCCAGGAAGTGGAGGTGGTAGTAATAGCAGTGCTCCATTTATTTTACTATTTATTTTAATATTGGAGCATGTAGCTGTGGGAGACCCAAATTCCAACACTCCCATCTAGCAACACCCCTGCCCTTTGAGCAGCCAGCAGGGAAAAGCCTGGAACTGTGCAGGCAGACGTCCCTAATCAAAGCGTCCTGCTGGGACCTGGTCAAGCCCCCCCTCAGCTCAGCTCTGTGCAAGGGGAGAGAGGGCTGCTCTACTGCCCCCCAGCTTCTAGCCTGAGCCACTGCAGGGATGCGCCTGAATTTTCTCAGTCCAGAGGGAATGTCTGGTTACAGACCAGTTCAGCCTAGTCAGGTTAGATGAACCTGCAAAGATTAAACCAATTCAGGCTCAGGCTTTGTGAATGTCTGTCCCTAGCCTTAGTGGTTCTATGCCTGAGCTTACAAACCAACATTGTTTTTGTCAGGGGATCAGCTGTGCCAGGATGTGCCCCGGCCCAGCTGATCCAATTAATTAGCAGGTACAGATGTCATTGGAACTGCTGTTTGGCAGGATTGGACTCCTGCCATTCCTGGGGCTTCAGGGGCTTGATCCTGTGGCACAATGGCCCCAAGTGCCTGGCCCCGTCCTGGGGCACACATCTGTAAATGCACAGTGAGGAAACCCATGGTCTCTTGCTCTGAGGCATGAAACATGCACTCTGGAATCATCTGTCCAGGGTGGCTGGAGAGCATGGACATCTCTGGGCTGTGGGGACTGTGCCATAACTGAACGCACCTCTGCACGGATAAAGCAACACAAACTATTAATGGGAATTGTTGCATTCCGTTTTTTGGATATTTGAGGTGTGACAAAGGGCAAAGACATGTTTTGCATTTCTGTGGAGCAACAAGGGTGACATCAGTTTGCAGATGTGACCTGTCCAGGGTCAGTCAAGACATTTGGCTGAGATTAAATTTGAACCCAGTTATCCTGAATTTCAGGCTGGTATCCTAAGCAAAGAACCATCCTGCCTTCAATAAGAATATCTCAAGAGTTGGGAGAAAGTATTGTGTTTACATGTTAGTTTTTATTTCTCTTGGTTGTTAGCTCCAGTAGGAGCCTGAGGAGAAATAGATATATCATCCGTCAATTGTGCTAATGTGCTGATGGCATACCTGTATTCATCCTGAGTACCCTGGGCCAGCATTCCTGTTTTATTTTAGTGCATTCACGCCATGGACTCTTTCAGGTGCAACAACAGAGCTGCTATCTGCTACAGTGTATAGTCTCCCTGGCACCTTCCTACTGACCTTTACTGCTGATAAGTTGTTGTTTTTTTTCCCCTCTCTCTCTCTCTCTCTCTCTCCATTCCACAGCTCTGCCTGGAGGAATGAAGCTCAAGCAAATCAGAGTAAGTTGTTAATTGCATTTTGTAGCAATTTAATATTCCTAAAATGGTTTACAAGGATTTGGAATTTAGAACAGTGAGTTGCATTAAGGCAATATGACCTTGACTACTGAAGCATAATATAGAGAAACTAAGTTTAGCTTTACAGTGATTTAGCTAACATACCAGGAGCGCATTAACCCACATGGAGCTCCATAGAGCTAGCTTGCTTCTGGGTACACAGCTAGCTCATTTTAAAGTAAGCTCCTGTACCCTATGTTGCAGGCTACAGTGGAGACACACCAAGTGTTTTCCACACTTGTCTCTTGCTGCTTCTTTTAGGAAAATTAAACCATGCTGCCATCTTGCAACCTTCCCAGGGGTTGCTAAGGGACTCAGTGTAAGCATTTCCCCCAGATACCTCTTCTGGGAAGTGCCACTATAGGCAACTTAAAAAAAATACAATTGTTCTCCTTTCGTACATGTTTTGATCTTTCACACAGTTAACAATAGCAACACTGAAAGTCTGATCACTTGCATCTCAGTTAGCATCCATTTTAAGGACGCACACAAAAGCCACTTGTTCTAACTCTATACAAGCGCAAGGAGATGTAATATGGATGCAGGCACTTGGTTCGCTATTTTAGTTTGCTTGACAACCTTAACAGCTTTTATTCTGGAGAACAGTTTGGGTTCTCTGAGGACACTCCTGGCCCCTTACTGCCTCCCCACAAGCAGATAAGCCAAAAATTTTGGTCAAACTGGAAGAAGAAAATTTCCTGGAAAGAAAATCTCACTTAAGCATCTTAAAAAGGGGGAGTCTTTCACAGTTGCAGAATCTTAATGGCAATTACAGCAATTGCTTGCAAGGAACAGTAATGTCAGGACAATAGTTAATGTAGCCTTAACACTGCAATGGGATCTAGGAAATGAGGAAGAGAGCCAACACAATGTAACTAATCCACTTTCCAGGGGCTCTGTGGACTGATGGTGACTCTTTGACCATGTTCAGGAACCTCTGCTCTAAGGTTTCTGGGTTTTATTTTAACTAGTGCTAATTGGTGAAATGAATATTTCACCATGTCTGAAAGGAGATTATTTTACGGG